AGTGAAATGGTTCTGACAGCACTGGGTGAATATTGCAGCTTCTGCTTTGGCACTTGACCATCTGTAGTTGCTTAACTGTAACCCCTAATGAGTGCCAGCCCATAAAGTCCCTCGCTCTAAAAAGCAAAATAGAAAATAGATCTTTATATGTTTATAGATATATATTAATTTTATATATAATATATACACACACACTATGTGCTGTGTGTTTTGTGATTCGTACAACAAATGGTATGTCTGTTCGTGCATGAAAACAGCAAACTGGCTCGAAAATAAAGTTGCTCTCAAACAAGGGGGTTATGCATCTGTGGATCCGTTGGAAGCTAAGACCAAACCTTAGTGCCAGGGTGATTCTTTTCTCTCCTCGTTGTTCCTGGAAACATTAGGTTTATTTGTATGGGAGAGGAAGAGTCTAGCTTATGCCACGGTGCTCGCCCAGCTTCTCTCAATGAATTTCGTTGGCCCTCTCTGTGAGTCATTATGGCATAATTACAATTCTAGCATGATATGCTATTTGTTGAAAACTGTCAATTTTTTGTGGAAGAGAGAAACTGCAATTCAAAAACGGTGAGCGGGCAAATCAATGCCATGATTAGCTGATATTAACAGACACCCTGAAGATTTACAACGCTTGCTGTGTTTCGAGGAAGCAGCTGAGGAGAAAAAAAAAAAATGCCCAGCAGGGGTTAAACCCAAATGCCTGCACTGCAGCCTCTTTCTGGCAACGCTCCATTCGGGAAATAAACATTTATGCTTTCTGAAATGAAAGTGTATTTTTGAAGACTAGCCGTCAGATATTTTTTGCCCTTCACACTTTCAAATGCTTAGCCTTTTCTGTAAGTTGACTGCAAAGTGCATCAGTTTGCCAGGCTAAAAAAAAAAAAAAGTGCTTGACAAGTGCCCGTGGCACCACTGTCAGCCTCCGAAGTTTCTAGTGGAAGAAGGCAAGAGGGTTGGCACAAAACATACTTTCTTCAAGCCTGTGACTTCAGGGGTACCTGCCTCTTGAGCAGCTTTTCAATGCTTCCAAATGATGTTATTCCCAACTGTCATCTGGTTTATTTGGAGCACACTGGATTGCAGATAAACCTGCTATTTAACGGCGGGTCAAGGTAGAGAGTCATTCTGCTAGCAAAATGCCCGAGATACGTTAAATGGCACTGACTCCAGGACAGAGATGAAGAGAGATCAGGGTTGTCAGCGATATGCATGGAATGGGCCATAGCTGGGGAGGAAAAAAAAAATGTGCGGTGGTATCAGTGTATTTTAAAAAGCTGTAATACGGTGGAACCTTTAAAACTATAACCTGTCACACACCAAAGATTAAGATCCCAGGATGCACAAAACATGAAGTTCGAGCGACACGGCTGCAAAGTGTATTTTATTTCACTTGGGAGAGAGGTTTCTCTCCAAAGGTAGCTAAATGTTATAGGTGATGAGAACCTCTCACTAGTAGCCCGATGGTTGTAAAACACCACTAAATGCCCGGTAAAAGTGCACACAAATAATTATCATTTGGATACAAGCACACGTACGCCCATAGGGCAATAGTGTTTTTTTTTTAGGAAATATGTTAAACTCAATTTATTTAGATCTTGGCCATTTAGGTTTTTGTACTTTTGCTCAGGTCCACTGGTAAAAATGTTATCGTATGCATGTCGGTTATGTTTGTAAAGTATAGTGAGCACCTTCTAAGGGCAGGTAAAAGAAGTTTGTGGAATTAAAATGTAAGCTCTATTATGTATTCAGCTTCCTTGGTGACCAGGTGAGCACAAGAATCTCATAGCAAGGCTGTTTCACTGGCACCCAGGCATTTGGGCAGGAGGGCTCTTTGTATCAGCTTCCAGATTGCAGAGGTGTGGTAGGAAAGGGTTAACAGTGTTGCGATTCAGTTATTTCTAGAGCGAGAAGCGATAAAAGTCCAGACTTTTATTTACATTCCGTAAAAGCATGGATTGTCCCCTTTTCCTATCGTTTTGCCAAATTACACTTCCTTTAATCAGCTGAAACAGATTTGAGGCTATCAAGCAAGCAAACTTGTCAAACCTTTTGTGCTATATCTATATCCCCATCCTCCCTGACCAGAGAGAGAGAGAGAGAGAGAGAGAGAGAGAAATTTTTTTGACCTTTTTCCTTTTATTTCATTAAGAAGTGAAAGGAAAAAGTTAGGTTTACTGGAAAGATACACACACACATACACAGCCATTGACAAAGAGCCAACAAATTGCAGGATCAACCTAAAAAAAATGAAATTTTATTGTTTTTTTTGCTTAATTAAACCCCAAAGAAATGTGTGAAACATTGTTATGGCTGAAAATTGTTAATTTGTAAATCACAGGGACAAAAGGGCCCCTGTGCAACTTTAAAGTTTCCGTCCACGTAACTGTCGATAGCGTGCCTTCTCCATCATCAGCACTAAATTCACATTGATGCCTCTTTTCTTCTCCGTATTGATCCTTCCATGAGAACGTAGATTTGTATCTGTTAATTAATGCGTCCTGAAACAGCGTTTGTATTAATCAGGCAGATAAGAAAAATTGGATGCCTGCATCCTCCTGACAACCGTAAAAGTGCTGGCCCTGATAAAATCGTGGATGGACCTCAATAAAAAAGTTCCTCCTTCCACTCAATAAACTAATCATCCTGCTTTTAATTATTCGGCAGAAAGATGTGTGGAGATTGGAGAATGTGTAAATCTATTTACTAACAGCAGTGTCTGGGAGGGAGAATAGGGCTGTCACAGGAAGGTGCTCCAGGCTACATGCTCTGTCCATCTGCTGCTGCAGAAAAACTGCTGCTTGGGAGCATGAAAGGGAACAAGAAAACTAAGGCAAAGGGAAAATACTCATCCCTTTTGGCTCATAACTTTCTAGAGGATCATTCATGTCTTTCTGCATCTAATTCATTTACAAAACAAATCCTTACCATTCACTTTTCTTGAGTAGGACATTTGGATTTGCACTACATCTTTTTTTTCTTGGGGATGGGGATAGAAAAAGGAGCAATGTTGGTTTGTTTGTCGTTAGTACAACATTCTCAAGATCCGAAGCAAATGGAGCCTAACCTACTTACACTGGACCACTATCTTTCTCGTTGGACTGTCTGTTTAAAATGTTACCAAATGTTCTATCTCTAATTCTGATAGGGAATTTATTTAACCCCGGAATGCAATGACCAAAAAAAAAAAAAAAAAGGAATGGAATGGAAAAAGAGAAAAAAAGATTGACACAGCCAATTCAAAAGAAGATGCATCATGTAATATGTAAATGGCTTGATAAACAATGAAATAAATGCTTTCTACACATGCCTTAAGATCCCCACTTTAATAAAAGCTGGACTAATCCCTCTTGATGATTTTATTAAACACTTCAGTTCATGGTGCAAAATGGGAAACCACCATTTTCACCAACAAGGCAGGAAATCATTTCCTTTTCCTGGTTGTGCAGTAGTTTCTAATATTACATGAGACGTGAACAATTTGATATGAATGAAAATGAGACGAAAGGAATGACCATAAGCAGGAGCCTAAGAAGATTGGGCAGCAGTGGATATTTATGATTTGGGTAGTAGGGTCTAGAGAAGGAGTGAAAATAGATCTCATAAGTTGCATCATTAAAATTTTCTCCTCCTATAGAATTATTGGTGGCAGGATCTTAAATCATGGTACTGTTGTCCTCAATAACCATAGGGGTGGTTGCTCACCCTTGGGATCCCTGGGCGTTACCTTGGAAATCAAAGTGAAGATTGAAGAAATGTTTATGTTCTAGGACTCTTGGAAAAAGTATGTGGCTGATCGTCAGGTATCTTCACTAAAACTTCCGTTTAGGATCCAGACCGAGTTCCTCTGAGATATAAATAAATATTTTTACTCCTACCTAGGTTAAATCCTACTACTTCCTCTGCTTGTTGAACCACATTTTCTTTTTCTTTTTTTTTTTTGCATGTCTTCTTAAGCTCAGAAGGAACTTAAAGCTTGTATATGTGTTATGTGTGAATTCAGACCAGATTGTTAGTGAAGAAACAGTCACCCAGCTATTTCAGATAAAAATAATATTTAATATAGCTACATTTAATGAATGCATATTATAAATTAGCATTTCGCTGGGTGTTAGTTTGTATTTTCCCAAGACAAAAATTGAGGTGTAAAAAAATTGTCTTGCTCATGATGAAGGAGGCAGTAGCTAAATGGGGCCAATATTTAAACTGAGGACCTGCCTCTGCCTACATCCTACCCATGGAACCCTATTGCCTCCATATTTAACTTTCTAAAAACTGGATCTTAATAAGAACAATAAACTGTGGCTTTTCAATTTGGTGAAGAGGCCAGGCTGCCAAGTATTCTACTCTCTTTTATACCAATAAGCACCATTTTAAGAGGAATTCATATTATATGTCAGTGGGTGCAAAATATTCACTTAGGAAGGCCCTTTGGGTGAACGAGTACTTATTATTCACTGAGCATCTGACTATTACAGAGAAATGTTTCCAAATTGCACTCTACAGTGTGAGCCTACACCGTTTGTTTTCCTTTGTTTGGGAGCTTATTTATTTATTTGTTTGTTTATGTATTTATGTATGTATGTATTTATTTATTTATTTAGTACTTTTATGTTGTTTATCAGTAGTAGTTTCTACAGATGAAGTGGATGAAAATCTGACTTCCTGAAGACATTTATAAAAACATCAGCCAGAAATCGGTTATATTTAGAGACTATATACTCTTTTCATCTGAAATGAAACAAACAAACCTACTTTTCTGGTATAGTCACCTCAGTTGTGTCCATAAAACCTATATAAAAAAAAGAACACCAACAAGTTGAACTGGTTTGTGACTTTTACTCTGGCATTCGCAAAGTGATCAGGGGAAAATTTAAGAGCATCTGATCAAAGCTCAGCATAATTTCGAGCACTGATGCAGAAGCCGACTACCATATGAAACTAATGTCGCATTATGAAATTAGGGCTTTAAAGTAACTTGATCTGCCCATCTTCCCATGCAGGCTTCTCCACGCTGTCCCTGGCGGACCAGATGAGCCTTCTGCAGAGTGCTTGGATGGAAATTTTGATCCTTGGTGTCGTATACCGATCTCTTTCATTCGAGGATGAACTTGTCTATGCCGATGATTATATAATGGATGAAGACCAGTCCAAATTAGCAGGCCTTCTTGACCTAAATAATGCTATCCTGCAGCTGGTAAAGAAATACAAGAGCATGAAGCTGGAGAAAGAAGAATTTGTCACCCTCAAAGCAATAGCTCTTGCTAATTCAGGTTGGCATATTGACATGGTCGTTGTTACATTTTTTTCACATTTTAGTTTTACCCTTCCCTCCACTCCTCCTGCACGGATTTGCTAAACCCACTTGTAAATTCCGTACGAGGCAGCAAAATTACAGTCATTACAGCTTTCTAGTGAAGAGTTAGGGATAGGAAAAGTCCACTTGAATTATTTTTATTAGATTTACTTATTGAAAGCGGTGAAACTTTTCCCCCCAGCCTGTGCGTTTCCTAACTTGTGGTGTAATAGACACTCTCAGGACAAAATTACCTCCGTTGTCTTGTAGGCACAAGTGACAATAAGTGTGCGCTATGGATACACAGAAGCCATCCCCCCCCACCCCCATAAATGCATATATTGCAATTAGCAAAAAACACATATGTAGTATTGGTTTTAATTTGAGGTATCAGAGAATACTCTGTTTTCGTGTATTCTCAAATTCCTTAGAAGTCCACTCCTGTTGGAGTATTTCTCTGAGAGGTACCACCTATGCAGTAAGGGTTAAGAATTATGGGATAAGCAGTCTTTACATTTGAACCGAAATGTACTAAAATAGCAACCTCTGATAAGTAAAAAATCGTTGCTGCTTTGTTGCTTTTCCCTTTGTGCCTCTCCTAATGCTTTATTGTGGTCTTAAGTCTCTTTTAGCATTTGCATATAGTTCAGGATAGATCCCTCCTTAATGACGTGCCGATCTTTAGATACCTGCGTGTCAATAACATGCTCTGATGCTATGTACCATTGACAGTCACACCGTGCCCCTCCATCTGCTTTTGTTTTGACCCTATCTTTGAACTTTATCTTGGTTGCTGGCCAGTAGTTTTCCCTTTAATTACAAGAAGGAAACTGTCAATAAAATCTGTTAAATGGGATGCAATGAGTGGCTTGAATGGGCGGACGGCTATTTGTTCAAATTCTGCAGCATTCAAGGTATTGACAGTTTGTTTTCTGGGGCCATATGTGACGATCAATCTCAGGCTGGGCTCAGCCGCGCTGAAAAATGAAAAACCAGATTGCTTTTGCTTACTTGTGGATGACGACTTTGTGATTTGGCGCGGTCCTAGTGAGATGAGACACTTCTGCCCAAATTGCCCCCATGAGAGCCGGGAACGCGTGACTGTTTTTAGAAATAATTTTTAATTGATTTTGTAATTAACCGTTCATCTACAATATTGATGCATGAATCCTTGGACTGATAGGAGGGAAATTGTTTTCAACAATGAAGTTGTACTTTCCTATTTGTCTTCATAATGGAGTTTAGCATTGCACACTTTTAATTGCTTACCACACCATTCGGTCACCTCTCTTTTCCTACCCCCCACTGTGAAACTGTAACATAGGATTCTTTATGACAAGTGGCACTGTTGATGCAAACATCTCAGATACCCCTTGTCTGGCTCTCCAGAAGACCAAAGTGGGAGATGGGAGAGAAATTTTCCGAGAATTTATAATTAATTTGCATGGACATCACATTATAGCATCTCTCCTAATCAGATGAAAAATTTTGCAGCAATGGTTTTGGGAAGGATTTCTGTTTGGTAGTCATATAGTGATTCCAACTGAAAACATGCACTTGGTTATTTTTTTTAAAATACAGCAGGCATGTTTTCTATCTTTTATACTACATACTGCTTCTTTAAATTATTAACTAATCCTGAGTGCTGAGCAGTGCTAAAATTTTATCAAAAGTGCTAAAATCTTATCATTTTAGGTGTCAGATGTATACTTTATGGCAATGGATTGTAATTTAGAGTACCTGAATTAATTAGTAGCAGCACTTCCGTCTGTTGTTTGGAAGTAAAATCATTAATGTTTTGATATGTAAATATTCAAATCCCACAGACTCTGCTGTTAGAAGGAGGAAGTGACCTACTTTAGAGCAATGACTGGTGATTAGGAAGTCTTTAAAGAACTCGTTAGTTTGCTTTGCTTGTTTAAAGCCAGAAATAGTTAACAGGCCTTCTCTCTTTTTTCTCGTACACTGGTAGTGAGTCCCATTAATTTCTCTCAGGAAATTTCTCCATGTCGCGAAGTTATTCTGCAAGTGCTTGTAACTTTTTTTTTAGCTTCTCAATACCAAGACAAATTGAATCAGAGTCCATAATAAAGGAGAAAAGAGTAAGGATGGTATTGATAATCTAAATTATGCCACCTTCCTTGTGTTGTATAACTATGACCCTTCTCTCATGCACCCAACCCCCAAGGCCCCCACCATTTTAGCATGGGATAAACCACTCAGAAAATGTATTTTTTTCATACTGTCAATACGATACTATTTGATTCCATTTTTTGACCATTACTTGGATGACAGCAATGAAGTTGTAGATTCATTCTTCCTTAGAGCCAGTGATTCTTAAACTGTTTAAAAATACATCAGTATGAAAAATGTTTTCAAAGATACCGTAAAAAGGTCATGGATTTTCTTTTAGTATTTAGAAATTTCAGATGAACCTAAGTGAGTTTTTGTGAAAAAAAAAAATCCTATTTTAGTGTTATTTTTATAGATTTCTTAGCATTCCCTATATGGCTATAGGTGTTAACAGCCCATGTCTCATTAATCTAAATTTCAGCTTATTTTAAACATCTGTCTCTATTCAATAACTATAAATATTGTGCTTATGCTCAGGAAACAGGGAATTGTCTTCTTGATAATAGCTTTCATATATTTTTGTAGCTCTGTTTCTGGCATATGTGAATTCAGGGTTACAGCACCAGCAACGCTACTGGAAGTACTTTCCCTCTCTTGAGGGAAATGGCCAAAAAAAACCCCAATATATTATAAACTGATACTGTCATTCTCACATTCAAATATTTGGAAACCCTAAATAATTGCCTCAATTATTTTTGAAGGTAAGAAACTCTCAGGCTCACTTAAACTATGTACTTTCTTACTTTTGAGCACCATCTATCTCTTAGGCAATTATTGCCTACCTGATAGATCTCCGTGCAATTGAATTTAAAAAGAAAAACCTAAGTCACAATTTTAGCATTATAATTGTTAGGCCCCAGTTATCTCATCAGCACACCAAGAAATTACAGACTTGTCTCTAGAATTCTTTCCATTTGGAGACTTTTATGAGTCTATAATTAATTTTATGTCTTGATTAGAAAGTTTAGTGAAATATTACTCCTTGCATGTTGGGTAAGATTAGATCACATGATTCTATTCTCTCAGTTTGTTTTTTTGTTTTTTTGTTTGTTTGTTTGTTTTTTTGATTCTTACATTTAAGACTTTGTTTGAAACTATTATCACTGGCCCCAAGGAAATATACTCATTTTTATACAGTGGAAGACTAAAGCAGCTTAAGAGTAAGAATTACTTGTAGTCTGGTCTTTCTCCTTTGCTCAGATCACAACCCTCCAGCTTCATAGCTGCCACTCACAGCCCTAGTGGTGTCGCTGGCCCTGTCCCCATCCTGGAGCCCTGTGAGCCCAACCCATTCAAGAATAAACAGAATCTATGTACTTAAAGCTGACTTTTCTTTTTATTTCTACACCATACTTCTAGAATCTGTTGATATTAAGCTGCAAGTAATATCTTGGTCATCAGTATCAAACTATAAGTAATTATTAACCACATCTTGACAGTATTTTGTTCTTGAGGACAAATGTTTGGTGTGTAGAATTGGGATACAATTTCAAGGAATAGAAAGTTTATGATTACCGTAGGAGACTGGAATGAGGACCATCTTTAGTCATGGAAGTTTGGCCTTGTGTTTTTTGGTCTTTTTTCGTTATCACTCCCTTGCGGTAGCCTTTTTAGATATTTTTTTCTTAATAAGTCCCCAGTGAAATATTAGTATCATGAATATGTTATGTACCTCCTTATGTACTATGTGTGTGTGTATTTGTTTTTACCGAAAAAGAGAGATTCCCCCTACTTTGTAATTCCAAATTTCACTTTCTTTGCGAATGCATACTTTAATCGCATAACTGTTTTCTTGTCTGTAAAATGAGGCAAGGGAATTACACCATATCTCCTAAAATTTTTATGTCAGTTACTTTTAAGTGAAGGCAGTGAGTTTGGTCATCTATTTTGTGTGTGGTGATGTGTATATTTTTGCTGAATTTGTAACATAGAAATATTAACATCTTCATGGATCTGAACAATCAGTGGAAAAGTGGAAAAACCTCTTCAGTCCCTGAGTATCTCCTGGGTCCTCAACCATAATTGTATTGAAACTTTGACTAAATTTGCTGGCTTGATATTCTAAACATAGTTTTAGATATTGACCAAGAGATAATCTTTTTTTTTTTTTTTTTTAGAATCTTTCTGTAGACTTTTTTTTTTTTTTTTTTAGCTTTTGCTGGGAATCTCATTTGATTTCCGCAATGTGTCTGTGAGGTAGACATGAGACATATCCAATAGCATTTTTACCGGTAACTGAAGCAAGCTGGTAAGATGTGTGGCCACTATAAAGCAGAGGGTTGGGCCCTCTGTCTCTGTCTATCAATAAGCTATTTCTATTCCACAAATAAGTATATAGCATGTCTATAAAAGGATCAACGCAGAAGACTAGCCAATGCCATTTTACATCTGCCAATCTAAATTAGTACTTTTAATTTAGTTTAGAATTTTGCACTCACTTTATCTTGCTGTCTTCTTGTCATTACAGTAGTATAAAACCACTCTTCAGGGCAGCCTGGGTGGTTTTGTGGTTTAGTGCCACCCTCAGCCCAGGGCGTGCGTGATCCTGGGGACCCGGGATCCAGTCCTGCATCAAGCTCCCTACATGGAGTCTTCTTTTCCCTCTGCCTGTGTCTCTGCCTCTCTCTCTCTCTCTCTCTCTCTCTCTCTCTGTCTGAATAAATAAATAAATAAATAAATAAATAAATAAATAAATATCTTAAAAAAAAACACTCTTCAAAGTGACAAAAAAGCTTTGGAGACAAAATGTTTACTACCTTTATAGGATTTAATAAAAAATAAGTATGGGAGGGTCTTTTGTGGCAGGTAGATATTTATATTTAACTTTTTCCTATATCAAACCAT